GACAGCGCAATGTAGGGATGAATTCAGAGAGAGCCAGCTAAAATTACTAATTGGAAAGGGAAGAAAGGGCAAGCAAAAAGGCTGCTAGAAACTAATCTAGGCTGTGAAAAAAGCAGATGAGTGAGGGCCAGTTTAATCACGTGAAAAAATAATTGACATCTTTTGAAACCAAACACAAGGGATAGCTATTTTCTGTATTAGAGGGAAGGTAAAACTAGAATGAAAGTAGTAAGACTAAAGTATGGAAAAAGATATTAATAATCAAATTTAAAAGTATTTTTCTCAAGCCAAAACTGTGTTCCACAGATGAAAAGGATTAGACATTTCTCCATATCATAACTTTTTCCTGTATAAAAAAATCACTCTGAAACAACTCCCTCCTGTCTCTAATTTCAGGATGTTCACTTTGCTACTCCAAAAACAAAACTTAAAACATCTTTTTGCTTTGAGCCCCACAGAACTTGTTGCACTGCAGTCAGAATCCGCTCATAAAAATATAGCTCCCAAAAAAAGCTGTTTCATGACAAGACAGACTTAGAGTCACAGCCAAAAGAACAGCTTTATATAACCATCTATTTCATCACTTGTGCTTGTCACAAAATGCTTCGAACTAACAATCTGCATTGGGAATCCAGCACTACGGGCCAAATTTATCCAACAAAATTCACAAATCCTTAGGAAAGGAATAAGACGCTAGTAAGGATTAAGAATGGATGACTCATTGTAGGGAGAAGCTGAAGTTCGTATCTCCAGAAGGCATTTTCTGGAATAACCTCTTCCAGCGCAGAACTACTTGAATTGACAATTTAGGATCTGATAGCCACAGAGCAGGGTGCTGCTGCAAATCACCAGGTATACAAATTTGCAGAAAATTAATGAATTTCATGTGAGTTTTTTTGTGATTTCCTTTCCCTTCTAAACTCCCCAAGTAGAGAGAAATGTTTCCTCACAATTCCCTTGATCAGGGCCCAGACAGCACATCCCTCACTCTCTGTATTTATTTACAGAAAACCTAGACTGACTTCATGGTCCTTTCTCCTGCATCCCAAGGCTCCATTACAGGATTTCCATAAAGTGGCATATCCCTAGAACACTGCTCATTTTTGAATAAGCAAGCAAGAGGGAGCTCCAAAAGAGGACGGGCAGAAAACCCCTGTCCAACTACCGCAGGCAGAGATGTGCGAGAGCCATGTAATGGCCTCTTCATTTGAAAAATGCTCCACATCTCTAGGAATCTTAAAAGGGAGATTGTAATAGATTACAGCATATTATCTGCATTATATAAGCAACAGGCGCTGGCATGTGCCTGCCATAGCCAAGACGGCAGCAGGTTTCTGCTTCTTTTGAAGGAAATTGGGCAAAAAGCATCAAAAAGGTTCACAATCCCTGAGCAGGTATAGAAGCCAAGAGCAGTTTCAAACCAGATACCATAAAGGAAGAGCCAGGGTCAAATCAGAGAATAACTTTACCACAGAAGAATGATTGAAAATGTAATTCCACTTTGAAATATAGGTGAAATAAATCTGCAGACGGATTAAGTATTGGACAAACTCGATTTTAGTAGCCGTGCCCAGTGAGAGTTGGTGTAACTCAGAAAAGATTTAAAAAAAATAAAAATAAACAAACCAAACCTGCTGTCGGATAGATAATCACACTAAATAAGTGTGATTTAGCAAGAGCTCTTGCCACGTGTAGCATAAACTGTGTTGCCTTCTGCTTTCTCTTCCTAGGGTTTGTTTGATCTTACCTGATTTCAGTTTAGGTAGAGGCAAGTCATTCTCACACAAAGTTTTACTGTAGAAATGCACACATTCCTTGGACAGACAGCAAGGGTAAAATTCTCAATTCAGAGATTAATACTGGATGGTAAAGATCAGGATTTCACTGTAAGTATATTTTATTTGGCAAAAAGGAAATGTGGGGACACTTAAAAACAGAAAACAAGCAGCCTTTAATAAGGTACTCTATAAATGCTCAAGATTTTAAATCAAGAGCTATCTAAAATAAGTATTATGTAAGCTTTATATGGGGATTTTTCCATCCATTTCTCATATTAATTACTATTTGCTGTCCTTTCACACGTTTGCAAGGGTGCCTATCTAGATGTGTTTTTATATATATATATATATATGTATACTTGCAAATATATTTGCACATATGTCTAGTGAAGTTCTGATCTTTTGAAGTAAATAGAAGGCTTTCTATTGATTTCTCTGTGTTCAGATTTTACCTGTGATTTACGTACAGCACTGTGTAAGAACTGTTTAAATACATAAATGAATGCAATACAAATATGTATTTAGCTATTATAACTTCGTCAATAGACACCTGCTCATATATTTTTCAAGAAATATTTATTTAGGCATATGCAGATGAAGTTACAGAATCTAAATCACTCTTTTCACAAATGAAAACCCCTGAGAGGTTCCAGGTAAGCAGGATGTGTGGATTTGTATCATCACTAATCATATGCCTTGATAAATTTTGAATCCCTTTATACTCATAAAATGCCATATGGCACTCAAAGTGCCATAGCAGTGTAGCAGTATGTTCTTGACAAAATTTTATTCCACTTAATCTGTATGCTTCATGTCATTCCAACAAACTAATTGCTAAATTCATGTGGTACATATAATTCTGTTTGTGTTCAGTGTGCAAAATACCCTCAAAGATTTGGTAATTCACAGAATTAACGTTGATGTACACTCTATGATCCTACCACATAAGAAAGTATCGATGAAGAACTCCAGCCCTGGGACTAGTCACATATGTAGAATTAAATAAACACAAAAATCACAGAAGCAACAAACTGTGACCATAAATCCATTTCAAGGAGTAGACCAGGCACAGTCTACAAAAGAAAATATTACCCTGAAAAAATATGCTTATTCTTATACTGTTCTGGACTCTAGCCAAATAACACAATTCTTAGGTATCCATCTCATTGCATTTCTCCGACTGCAGTAGTCTAAGGCTATCGTTACTTCCTTGAAATTTTGTTTCAAGAACTAAATCCTATGTTACACTGATCATTTTTACCTTTTTTAATTCTCATTTTAAATGTACATTTGCCTGTATTATAGAACTATTTTCCTTGCTGCCAGGCTAATCTTCTTGAAAGCTGGGTTCATCTCATTTCAAAAGAGATTTAAAAGCAAAGTACCAAGTGTTCTCTGAGCATTCAGATCTCTATCAGATTTGCACCCAGAATTTATACAGTACCTGCTCAACCAAACCAGGATTGCTTCTCCATCAGCACCTTCCTGCAACACAGCCTCAAAAATTATCAAGTACAAAATTAAGCAAGAAATAATTCACTGGCCTACCTCACCAGTTGAGGAGAATGCCAAACTCTAGGCTCTGGAAAAAAAATTTACTGGAGTAATAATTCATTTTCAAATACAACAGCTCTTTTGACACCCAAAGGCTTTTGAAATGAAATTAATTGCAATTGTTAAGGATAGTTGAATTAATTGAAAATAAATATTGAGAATGGATAATGTACTCCTTTTCATAGAAAAGTAAAGCAATTGCTTCAGTTGCTCTTCTTGATAATTTTGCTGTGTTTGCCCCAGAGTAATCTAGTGAGATGAGTGGATATCTGGAAATAACTACACATTACAAAAGCTTGCTGTCATGTTCTGATTACTCTATTTGCTATTTACAGCTGTCAGGACACTGACAAAAGCAAACATGAAATTAAAATATTTTGCAGACTAAATCTAGAAAAATCAAGAAAGAAGTGGGAGAAAAAAAAATCTGTCTGTACTGACACAAGTGACTAAGTTCTTGTGCGTTTCAGGGAAGCATGGATGCACTCTCAATTTCTGCAACACCAGATTAATTTAGATGCTACTTGGCTAAATACACTCAGCTTCTGCAGCTAGGTTACTGTCAGCATTTGAACTAATTCTGAACTGGTTCAGATACCCCCATACTATAGCATAGCCAGTGAGCAGATGAGATAAAACTGGATCTGATTCAGATCTCAGACTTAATTTTCTATTTTTGTGAACCCCATAGCTAAAACCAAAATTGCTCCTCATTCACGTCAGTGGAAAACTATGGGACCTTGTTTCTAGGAAACAAATTAAGATTTAATATTATTTGTGACTTAACCTCTCTCACCCTAGACAAAATTAAAACTTCTTCAGTCAGATTTACTACACTAGACAGACACAATTAATATTAGCTTTCTAATGCCATCAGACATTAGCCCACAAAATTTTTTTCCGGTTCATAATCTGGTTTCTTTCGACACAGCATCCTGGGAGAGAACACACTAACCTGATCAACACTCACAGCTTTGAAAGAATCACAACAGTCAGTGCTAGCGAGCAGCCCTTAGTCACATCTGGGACAGCCAAGAAAGCACTGAGTACGCAGAGAAATCTCTGTGAGGGATCTGTCCAGACTACAAACCTGGCTTGTTCAGACCTAAGCAAGTTTTTATATTAACCCCTAGTCAGCAACTATTTTTTTAACATAACTCTAAAGCAAAGTCCAGAAAAACTTGTAAAGAGAGAAGAAGAATTTTAGTTTCTTAACTGCTATCTCCCGTAGGATAGTTTGCAAGTAGCAGTAAATCACAGTGAACACACTATGATCAGTAAAGAACATTACAAACCTCAGTGAAGACCAAACAGATAAGCCACCTTGCTGAACGCTTTCACTGAATTTCTTGAGCAGGCTCAGCAATTGCTCTAGTTTATTCTAGCCATCACTCTGCCTCCCCACTGCCTGCTCCATTGGAAATAAACTCTTCATGGTACATTTTGCTTAGTCTGTCTCACTTATGATCAGAAGTGCAGAATAAAATTATTATTTTAGTTACGGACTCGCAGGTACATATATCACAGGCAACGTGCTGCAGAACTAATGCATTAAAATGTGAACGGAGCTGTTACCACAACTAGAGCGCCTTAAAACCTGGGGATAAAAAAGGGTAAGTTTTAGACAGCGATGCGCATTAAAAATTGGCAAACACGTTAGGCTCTTACCAGGAATGGACTCCAGCAAATGCAAGAAACACACATTATAGCCAAGAGCTGAATGATCATTTCAAAATGATGAGATCTGCCTTGTCTTTGTTGACTTTTAAATTTGACTCTTAAGAGGGTAATTCCTGTGACAGCATTGCACAAGAATGAAATAGCAAGGGCCAGTAACCCAAGGCAAGAAAAAAGTAAGAGATAAAATCTGTCTTCCCAGTCCTCAACATGTTCTGTTTTATAGAAGCACCAGGTCCTCGATGCTTGAATTTGATAGGCTCTAAACCTAAGAATAGGCAGCAAAGCTATAAGAACAGCAAACAGACATACCATAGTCAACATCATTTTCACATGTTTAGAAGTCATTTTTGTAGAGTGAAAGATTGGCTTAGTGACTCCAATGCAACGTTC